GGCAGAGACGTCGGCGGCGATGTAGTGGAAGCGTTGGGTTTGGGGGTTCTTGGCTGCGGCCTGGGGTCAAGTCAGCATGCGATTGTGCAAGCAGATAAAAGAATGGCAGCAAACCTTGACGGTGAAGAGAGCAGCTTCGAGTTTGCTGGCGCTTCGAGAGACGAGAACGATATTTGCGCCTTTCGCAGACAATTGAGTGGCTGCGCTGAGACCCATGCCTTCGGATGCACCGGTGATGAGGACTGTCTACAGGTATTGTTAGTCGTGCTGTGGTGGAAAGGGACCGATCATGAGACGTCTCATGAGGAGACATACTTTGCCCTCGACGGGGAATTTGTTACCGCCAAACAAACCCATGATGAGCCAGCCGACAAGAAGAGTCACGACAGAGATAGCAATGTAAGTAAAGAGTGTCGTGGGGGAGAGATCCATGGCGAGAGAGGGACGGCAGTGTTGATAAACTTGTAGCTAGCGAGGGGCAGAGAGCAAGGAGGTTTTAAGCTGTCATGCAGCCCCTGCTAAATCCGCTAAGATACAGTGTTATCCCCGCTTATTTAGGTCCCCAAACATGGACGCCACAGGCCGTTTAGCTTTCGATCATTTTTGTAGGGGGTTTTGGCAACCAACACGTACGTAAGTTAGTAGATAGTGCACTCCAGTTCAATTGAATACAATACTTGTAGTGGCAGCTTACCATGATGGATGCTGTCCCTGGCTCAGAGGATGGACAACTGCCCTTAGGGCTGACACACTGGGTGATTGTAATTAGATCAATCATCAGCTTTGCTTCTCGCTTTTGTGCGATTGGATTGCTCGGACTGTAAGACGGGCATGGATGAGATTAGTCCAGGGGTTGCTGACGCTCAATTTAAGATCGTGCCCTCTGTGATGATTCTTTCAGGTACGAGAACGTGACGAGAATTATTTTCCATGGAATGAAATGTAGTATCAATTCTGATTTTACTACAAAACGATCCGATGATGAATTTACAGGGAATTACATATCATAAGAATATTAGAGGAGGGACTTATTAAGGTCGATGATTAATAGTATGAGAAACGAATATCGCACTGTATTTTATATCGTTGTAGCTGAAAGTCGAGGCTGACGCACGCTCTCTCACTCACTCTCTCAGTCAACTTACAGGATATTTGTACCTTGTTTCTGTTGAAATTATCATCAACCCTTCTTTTGATACAGTAATACTCACAAAATCTTGCCCAAACTCACACAAGCTATAATTCACAATAATGAGGACATGACGAATATTCTGTCGACCTATCAGCACAATGTCCAGCAAGGATGAGGACACCAAGCCTACGGTACCTAAATTCGCATCTTTCAAGCCAAAATCCGAGACTTCCGATTTGAAGGCACCCAAATTTTCTTCTTTCAAACCAAAAGACAAGGAAAAGGATAAGAAATTGCCCACAAGCTTTAACGCCAAGGACGAGGGGCGAGAGCGAGAACGCGAGCGTGATTCAAGGAGGAAACGAAGTCATCACCACTCTGATTCACATCGCGACCATCACCGATCAAAAAGACATCGCACAAACTCTCGTGACCGACATCGTGAGAAACCACGAACTGGTCACTCTGAAGCACTTGAGCACCGCCCCCTCACCAAAGTTACACGTAACAGTGACGATGCGTCGCGTCTGTACATCATTGACACTAAAGGGGATCCCTTAATCATTCGATATGGAAGTCTTGACCGTTCTCAGGTTCCCGGTTACTATCGTGATGGATATGGAAAGGTTCTTGGCACACGAGGTCGTCTTGTAATTCATCGCGATGGACCAAGAGACCAGTTCAGTCTACGTATGCCTGGTGAAGGCTCATATGCCTTGAAAGACAAGGATGGTCTGCGCTCTAAGAATTGGCGTGTGAGACATACACCGTTGAGAGTCCGGAAGCAAGAAATTAACGGTGAAGATGAAGAAGACGGAGACTTCCTGGCACTAAGCTCATCGAAGAAGCGCAAACACTCGCATCAAGCTTCTGATTCTTCAGACGATGAGGAACAGCCGACTTATCGATCGATAGAGGGAAAAGCTAAACCTCGTCAATACGATGACAGCGACGTGGAATCTGAATCAGATGTGGCTGCAGATGATATTAATCTCGATCAGAATAATCCCCTGAAGTGGAAGTCAATTCAGCTCTCGAGACGTGTGAAAGACCAGCCAGATGATATAGACGCATGGCTCGAGTTGTCAAACCACCAAGATGCTCTCTTGAGAGCAGGCGAGGATGTTGATCACAAGGCACTTGAGGCGGAGGTGCACAGTTTTGCGGAGATCAAGCTGCACATGCTTGAATCAGCTCTGTCTAATGTATCAAATCACCAAGATCGCATACGGGTGCTAATCCCTCTCATGAAGGAAGGTATAAAAGTGTGGAATAGCAAAGTCGCCGCCAAGAAGTGGCTTGACTTACGTGAGGACGAGGATAAGAATTTTGCTCTGTGGAAGACGCACCTTGATTTTTCTATGTTTAACATTTCTGCTTTCCATTTTGACACCCTCAAGCAAATGCACCTGGATAGGATACGACATGTTATGTCTCGATCACATGTGAACATTGAGCCCGAAGACTTGAAGGAAGCTATCTATGTCTTTCTGAGACTTACCAGATTCATTCATGACTCTGGTTATAAGGAGCTTGCAGTCGCAGCATGGCAGGCTTTTCTGGAGCTCAACTTCTTCCGGCCCACGCAACTGGATGACCAGAGTGCAGCCTTCGAATCACTTCGTGACTTCTGGGAGAGCGAAGTCCCGAGGATAGGAGAAGCAGACGCTCAGGGCTGGGCGAAGTTTGTAGCAGATGGAGGAATAGGCGATGCTCCCGAACCGCTACAAGATATCAAAGAGCCCAGATACCAGTCCCGAGATGATTACAAACGATGGGCAAGCCTAGAGAGCTCTCAAGCTGATAAGGCTCGAGTTCCAGCTAGAACCATGGATGAAGGGACAGAAGACGACCCATTCAGAGTGGTGATGTTCTCTGACATCGAGCCGCTGCTCTTTTTCGTCCCAAAGAGTATCCTGCCTGCTGTGCAGGAGCAATTGCTAGACGCATTTCTGATATTCCAGGGACTCCCCCCAACATTTTGGTCTGACCACTGGACCGAGGAGGCGTATCATGATCAGTTCCTTGCATTTTCTACATTACACACGGAGTCGAGTGCTCCCACGCCACTATCGGGAGACGAGGATCCGACTGAGATCCAGAGGAAGCCCCCTTCTTTCCGCCAGAACCCTCTTTGCGTCTCGGAAACGCTCGATGTCCTTTTTCCTCAGTCAGAATGGTTTTCCTACCTGCCCTCAAGGAATAGAAAGAATGACGTTGAACTTGGATTTATGGTCAACGCAACGAAGCAACTGGTTCACAATGCCAACTTTGGAGGTTTGGCCACATATCATTTAGCATTGTCTCAAGTTCAAGATGGCTCCAGTGTTAAGAAAGCGGCAAGGGCTTTACTGAAGCGATATCCGACTGACCTTAGTCTTTACCGAGCATACGCTATTGCTGAGTATGCAAATGAAAATCACGAAGTTGCTTCTAAGGTCGTGTCATCAGCGACTGAGCTCGCGTCGGTGAGTAATCTGTCTTCTCCGATTTTGACTCGTCGCCATGCTGACCAGTTCCTCCAGGAGTCACCAACAGCAGATGCGTTTGCTCTTTGGAGAGCTTGGTCGTGGATGGAACTCCAGGGGGGTGATAAACAGCTAGCAGTTCGAAGATTATGCTCTTATGTAGATGATGCTCTTCGAAGGTCAGCTGGAACCCCTGAAGTATCATCAACACATATTCTCAAAGCCCACCAAACCTTTTCGTCTCTTATGAGTGACTTTATTTCCGGGGCAAAACTCGAGGGTGCGAGTACTCTTGCCGAGTGCTTAGTCCTGTTGTCATACTTAACTTCTGAGAGCTGTGCAGAACCGATGTCGGCATCACAAGGAAGTATTTCGGCTGCGATAGAGACAGTGCACCGAGTGTCTCTCGAGTTCAAGTCTCGAGGCTACCAAGCATCGCGCGCTCATGAGCGACTATTACAGTTTGCGTCAAGGCTATTGTACTTGCACGCAACCCGAGGGTGAGTCCTAATTCAAGTATTGTCAGACATAATTGCTAACAAAGCCAAGACCTTTCCGTCGCGCGTATCTGCTTGGACAACTGAAGCAGTTCCTGAAATACTTCCCGAGGAACACCATATTCTTATCACTTTTTGAATGGGCCGACTCAAGTCTTCGCCTCATCGACGAATCAAGAACACTTCTACACGAAACAGTCCTGACTCCAGCTCAGGATTGCCTGAGCAGTCGAATATTTGCCGTCCATCACGAAATTGAACGGGGAAACGTCAACACAACGAAAGCAGCCTTTGAGCACGCCGTATCAAGCGACACTTGCAAGTTCAACACATCTTTGTGGATAAATTTTATCAGATTCTGTAGCTCACAAAGAGAGTTGCGACCAAAGGCTAAGGATATCTTGTTCAGGGCCTTGAGGCATTGCCCCTGGTCCAAGGGTGTCATGATGGAGGCTTTTTTCATATTGAATAGGGATATGGATTCTTCGGAACTGAAGGGTATATTTGAGACAATGACTTCGAAAGGGTTGAGAATTCATGTTGATCTGGAGGAGTTCTTGGATAAGAAGAAAAACGAGAGGCGAGGAGAGAAGAGCAAGCGGTTCACAAATGATAGGTAAATTCATGCAGCATTAGGACACGCTATGATGGTATAGTCTAAGTTGGGACATGTCCTACAAGCCTCCTTGAATCGAAGCACCCAGCAGGATTATTCCTAGTTGCTCCATCTGCTCGGGACTTTTTACTTCAAACGGGCCATACTCGCGCATCTCGAGAAACGAATGTGTGCTCCCCTTTCCTCTGCCACCAGTCCCTAGTGCACAAATGTACTCAACGTACTGGTAATCAAAAGTGGCAATGATGAGGTAAACTTCGCCATGGTCCTGAGAGACGAGGAGACGTCTAAATTTGGTGTTGGGCTTTTTCAGCACGGGGGGATCCTGCGCTACCCAAGCCGCCATCTGAGCCGTTTCTTGCATGCGAATCTTGTCCAGCGTTTTTTTCCGACCCGTACCTGATGAAGGGCTTGACTTCGACGATAGCACAGGTTCTGTCCTTGACCCGCAACAGGCCATCCACACGTGCCTCGTACACCTTGGTTGCTGAGGCCTTGACCACGAAGGGCTTTCGATAGAGAGTCCACGCCCCCTGGACAGAATCGCAATGAAGCGTGAGGGCGTTGAGGAACAGAATCAAAGCGGTGTTAACGATTTGTTCGTCCTCAATACTCTGGTATTGCTTTCCGGTTTCTCCAGAAAGGGACGAGTGGTACGAGAGCGGGCCCAGCGGATCTGAATTAAGGCTAGATGTGTCTGGATCGAGGACCAAATTACCAAAGTGCTCATCTATTGACATATCTTCCTTGGGCGGGCGAGAAGGCGTCTCTGGCCGTGATGTGGATCCCTGGTACCGTCGAGCTGCTTGGCTCCGCGTTACTCGAGGACTGAAAGCAACCTTGGGTGACGAGAGGTCTATTTCTTCATGAGAGGGCTTCTGTCTTGGTTGTATAGATAGTCGCTGATAGTACTGGACCATTGAAAAGGATCCCTCTGAGATCTTTTTCTCGTCTTGGCCAAAGGACTCTATGTATCTCGTTCAGGACCTCAGAGTACCCAAGAAGGAGGTGGCCTTCTTAAGCACATCTCTGCTGATCCAATCCTGGTCCCTGCAGTCGTTCCTGAACTAAAGGGCACGACGACCTTTCCAGACTGCTCGAAGCAGAAGAAATTGCTTCGTTTCCACTTGGGATCCCGAGTTCAAGTCAGCAAGGTCGTGGATTGACGAGTCGACGACTGAATGCTGCTGTGCTATTCGAGTCCAGTCTTGAGAGCTTTTGGGCAGCTTGGACAAGGCTGACATGGTTTAATGCCAGAAAAGATCCAGGTGAAGTTGGTAAGACTTAGAGAGGTGTTCGAGAGTTGAGATAGGTTTGGAAAGAATAGTATAGGTAAGGTAAGGTATATCAGTCGGTACTAATGCCTCTTTATTTGGTAGAAATTGTTAAATTACTAGAAGCGAATCTAGCCAGAGGAGGAGCAATATATGACAATAGTGTAGGCGCTGTAAAGTTGGAGTAATTACATAGCCGCCAGCATTCGTGAGGGAGAAGGCTCCCATTACAATTTTGGTAACTCATCACTACAAAACGTATGATATTCGAAGTCCTGGCGCTTAACTTGAAATGAAAGGAAGTGAAGAATCTTACTTTAGCATAGGCACGCGGCTATGAGACAGTAAAATGATGTCATCGAGGCTTCCTATGAAGGAGGCTCAACATTAGGTCGGCCCCGCGCTTGTTGTTGTTATAACAACCAAACAAACTCAAGCAGGCCCATAAAATACACTACCGCCGCTAAGCTAAGCTCCACAGGGCCCTGGAAGCCTCTGATAAACTCCATAACGGCGCCTATACTTTCCTACCCACCTACCTACGTAGCCGAGCGCTTGAGCAAGTCAACATCTCCATCCGTGGTGACAAACTGGGCGCTTATTCGGAGTCAGAAGGTCTTGATAAGAGCCTCAAGATGCCGCCGCAAAGTCGAGCCACAGGATCATTCCCTCAAAGGCCATCAGAAAATACCCAAGAAGCTGAAGCAGACATGAATCGACACAGAACCGACCAAAGACGGGCGAATCTTGACAAGATCGCCCGTTATATCATCCGTCCACTTAGCCAGTCCATAGACAGACATGTGGGCATGGACTTCTTGAAACATTACGGTATCAAATGTTACGATATGGACTTCAAAACTGGTCAAGTCGGCAAGCGCGCAGAGCCATTCATCCAACTTATTCAGCCTCAAGTAGTCGAGCAATGGCTCAGGGAGATTGGGTCTCCTCCGCTCAAGGACCGTCGAGATTTCGTGAACGAGTTCTCTCACGAATTCGGAGATAGTCCCCAGTAGGAAGCCACCTTTATGTGGGATCGCCTCTACACTTACATCTCTGAATACGAGAATGCCCAAGGAAATTGTGTCATGACGGCTCGCACCACATGGCTCGATGTCAGGTATGAACACTTTATCCCCCGATGCCTTGCCTTGCCTTGTCTTGTCTTGCCTATTCTATCCTGTCTATGGGCCCAGCTAACATGATTTAAAAAGCTGCGGTAGTTCCAGGCTCATTAATCGCCTGGGCGAAAAGAACGCCAACTGGCAGCTCAAGGCTCTTCTTCGCCAACATCTTCCCAACGCTACACGTTATGACCGTGTACCTGATCCTCAGAAGCCTCATGCCATGTGCTATCTGGCAGATGAAGCGCAGCTAGTAGACGACAAACTCCTAACCAGTGAGCTCACCGCTTTGCTTGTTGTTGCAGCCGACACAGCCCTCAAAGCGACCTGGCAAAAGCAAAAGATCATTCCGGTATGAGACCGCCTTTGGTTATGTACCTTATCCCCACATTGCTGACATGAGCTATTTCGATAGGTGACCCTCATCACTGGCTCGCGCAGGACTGTTCGGGTATCCCAATGCATTCTGAACGCAGAGACGGGGGGTGTCGAGATTCGCAAATCACCACTCGTATCGTTTCCAAATGGCTTTCGGGCAGACTGGAACAAATGTTTAATGCTACTGGGATGGATTCTAGGTACTCCAGTGGGAAGAACGATGTGATCTGACAACTAGCATCTACTTGGTCGACATAGGGTCTGTATCTTTGTTTATGTTTATGTCCAACACGAGGCGGCTAGGAGTTTGGCGCAAATCAAGGTTTTAAAGGATATGTATGATCGAAAATAGACAATACGATGAGGCAACCCGTACATCTCCAACTTCTCTTATATATATATGATAGTGAAGCCGCCATCCTCGGAACCACCTATCTCTCAATCTTCTGAGCTTGAATCATAAAATCAAACGACGGCGGTGATTTGCAGGGTGAACCTGGTCCAGCTGAGTACTAAAAATAGTATACATCGTACCTTGCCTTGCTTCATAACAAACGTATGAGATTTGTGACAATACCTGAGGAAAGTCTGTCATCGTTATGTGATTCAGTCAATCCATAATATTTGCCATCCATTGGAAGCAACACAACTGTGCAGCTTTCCTTGGACCGCGTCATGGCTGTGTTGTCGGGTGGAGTCAGAACAGGGGCTTTTAGGGGTCTTGAAGTCTTTGTAGCCGGTCTAGCGCTGAAGCTGTCGTGAGCTGTCTTGGGCCCAAGCTTCAATGTGAGACCATGTGAGATTAAAATCAAGAGAAGAAGAAAAGATGACCTTGTAACGGCTTGATAGACCCTGTAGCTGAAGAAAAGAGAGGCCGCCAGGTATCAATTCACTGTTGATCACCAAATTCCTGTTTTCTTGCGGTAACTCAGATCAGGTATTCAATGTTCTGAGTCTAGAACATGCAGGGGCCAGTTACAGCTGGAGACGCCAGTGGAAGCCAAGTTTTGGCTCTGGGTCAGGGTCAAGGTCAGACTCAAAGACAGCGAATAACTTCACGAATCCAACATCACTTGATCGCCCTCTCTTTTCTCCGCTCTCTCCGCTCTCTCACCTCTTCAAAAGCTGGAAAACATAAAAATTCACATCAAAACATGGCCCACGAGCTCAAAGCTGGTGGAGGTGCCAGCGAAGTCACTCGCTCCCTCTCCAACGTCGACCCCATCATCAGCGGCCAACTCGTCAAGCTATTCCAGTCTCTGGCCGACAGAGAAGACAAGACCTGGAGCAAAGAGAGACTCGCTTCTTTCATTAAAGATGTTCAAAAAGATGACTCTTCACCTGCTGTCCAAGAACTTCTCGCCAGAGACCACCTCGATCTGGATGGCTTCATGGCCTGGATGACGTCGTCTCATGCAGCTGCTACAACCCCGCCTAAACCCCAAGATCTCTCATATCCTCTTGCTTCCTACTTCATCAGCTCCAGCCACAACACCTATCTCACCGGAAATCAACTCTCGAGTGATAGCTCGACCAGGCCTTACACCGAAACTCTACTGCGGGGTGGGCGCTGTATCGAGATCGATGTCTGGGATGGTGATGGGTCTGATCCCGAGGGCACGAGTAGTCCTTCCAGCAGCGATGAGGAGAGAGGCGTAAAAAAAGTTGTGAAGAAGACAAAGAAGAGAAGCACTTTTGGAAAGCTCAAGGAGAAGCTCGCAAAGACGAGTATTCGTGATAAGGATGAGTCCCCCGACCCCGCCTCCGGTCAACAGCCCGCTCCCAACGCCGATCCCGAATCTACAGAGCCCGAAGCCGCTATCGTTGAGCCCCGTGTGCTCCACGGCTACACCCTCACCAAGGAGATTTCCTTCCGAGCTGTCAGTGAGGCCATTCGCGAAAGCGCCTTTGTCGTTAGCGACTTGCCCGTAATCGTCTCTCTTGAGGTCCACTGCAAACCGGACCAGCAACTTGCCATGGTCCGCATTATGAAGGAAGTCTGGGGGGATCTTCTTGTCCCTGAGCCCGAGAACGAACCTGATGCTCTACCCAGCCCTGGTGAACTGCGTCGAAAGCTCATCGTCAAGGTTAAGTATGCACCACCTGGTGCAGATGCCACTCAAGAGGAGAGTGAGGAGGAGGATAGGGCGCCAGCCCCTGGTGCTCAGGCCGGCGATGCCCCGCCAAAGAAGCCTGCAAAGATTATACAGGAGCTGAGTCGTATGGGTTTCCATGCGCGAGGTGTGTCTTTCAAGAGCTTGACACAGCCAGAGGCTGGTATGCCTACACACATCTTTTCCCTATCTGAGAAGAAGGTCATTGATGTGCACGAGAAGCAAGCATCGGATCTGTTCAACCACAATCGACACTTCCTCATGAGAACTTATCCTTGGGGGCTGCGAATAGGATCATCCAATCTGGACCCTTCTGTTTTCTGGCGTAAGGGTATTCAGATCGTTGCGCTTAATTGGCAGAGGTGGGATGAGGGCATGATGCTTAATGAAGGCATGTTTGCTGGAACGGGAGGATATGTCCTCAAACCTCAAGGTACATACTCATTCTAAGTCATCTCGCGAATCATCCATCTAACTTCTTTTAGGCTATCGTCCCAATCGCAACGACGAAGAAACCGAAAACACCATCAACCGGAAAACACTCCATCTCACAATCACAGTCCTCGCCGCTCAGAATATCCCCCTCCCACCAGGCGACACCTCCACCAGAGGCTTTGAGCCCTACGTCAAAGTCGAGCTTCACGTCGAAGGACCTGATGAATTCCACGGCGGCCCTGTCCCTAACGAAGGACACGAACGCGAGGGTGAATACAAGGCCCGCACAAAGACACACCGTGGCAACATGGTAGACTTTGCTGGTGAACGTCTCGAATTTCCTCCTGTGCCCCATGTTGTCGATGAACTTTCATGGGTGCGATTTACAGTGCGTGATGATGAGATTGGAAGGGATGATTTGGCGGCTTGGGCTTGTGCGAGGCTTGATAGGTTGGGTAGTGGATATCGGTTTGTGCATCTTATGGATTGTGAGGGGCGTATCACGGATGGAGCGATTTTTATCAAGGTTGATAAGAGGTTGGTTTAGCAGGGATTTAGTGGCATGATGACGATACGATATTGCATCCTATTTATCTAGCGTATGCATACAATGAGAGCGATGTTCATAAAGAAAAAATATTGCTTGGTTGATTTGAATCAACGGCTGGGCCCAATGAGAGCCACCATGTCAGTGTCGCCCAAGTCTCAAGATAGCGACAGAACCTATCTGACTGGCATGGCAAACATTGACACTACCTTATTCTTTGAAAAGGCCCCTATGCGTGATCTCATAAATGTTTCACGAGACGTCTGGTTTAAACCACATATAGACACAAATGAAATTCAATTCAGGAGCAAGGAATGTATCATCTCACTCAATAAGTAGCTAACACTAACACGCTAGAGTCCCTCTCACACAATCATACTTAGTAGTCGTTGTCACCACTGTTCTTGTTTCCCCTGAGCTTGTCCTCAACCTTGTCCTTGACCTTGTCGAGGAAGCCACCTGATCGGTTGTTGTCGTTGTCGTTGTCACGACCAGATCCGTATGTGTTGCTGGATCCATAAGAATCGCTGTCCTTGTTGCTGGAGCCATAGGAATCGTTGTTTCCAGAGCCGTAGCTGTCGTTGTTGCTAGAGCCGTATGTGTTGCTGGTACCGTAAGAGTCGCTGCCCTTGTTGCTAGATCCATAAGAGTTATCATTGTCACGGCTGGAGCCGTAAGAATCCTTGTTGCTGGAGCCGTAGGAGTCGTTGTCCTTGTTGCTGGAGCCGTAGCTGTTGTCATCATTGTCGCGACGGCTGGAGCCCTGATATTCATGTTAGTTATGAAGGGTTTGCTAGGTATAATGATTCACATACGTAGCTGTCGTTGCCGCCGCTCAGACCAGAGTTACCGGACGAGCCATAAGTGTTGTCGTTGTCATTGTCACGGCGGCTAGGGCCGTATGAATCATTGTTGCTAGACCCATAAGAGTCATTGTCCTTGTTGCTAGAGCCATAGGAATCGCTGTTGTCGCGGCCAGATGAGCCCTGAGCTTCATTAGTATGTGAGGGTAGAAAGGACCGGTATGCACTCACGTAGCTGCTGCTGTTGTTGTTGCTAGAGCCATAAGAGTTGTCGTTATCGTTGTCACGACCGCTGGAGCCCTGCTATGCGTGAGTGAGTGTTGATAGGAAAGGTTATAAGAAGAACGTACGTAGCTGTTGTCGTTATCACGGTTGGACGAACCGTAGCTGTTGTCGTTATCACGGTTGGAAGACCCGTAGCTGTTGTCGTTGTCGTTGTCGCGGCGGCTGGAGCCCTTGAGAGAGTTAGCTTCATGAGAGGGCATATAGAGCTGAGAGAACATACGTAGCTGTCGTTACCGTAGTTGTCAGACATGTTGATTATTGGGGTGTTTTGTTTGAGAGAGAATAGATAGTTGGTGATGTAGACAGATAGATTGTGCAATAGTATGAATGGAAAATAGTCCGAATATGAGAGGGAAAGCTTCTGTTTAATACCTATGTGAGAGAAGCTGCCTCCCTGAACTTAGAGCTCCCCATCTCCATCATGTGGATCAACAAGCTCCCCTCCTCCATCACAGGGAGGAATGACGTGCCGCTGTTCCATTGTGGCATGGGCCTTGTCTTAGAAAGCTGAAGCTGCATAGACTAGTTAGCATAATGTTTTAGCTTCGGAACACCCCATGTACTGTACGTACCCTGTAACCTGCAAGACTTGATAGATGGGTAACTATCAGAATCTTGAGACGATGTGATCATGTCCCACAAGGAACGCGCGTTGACTGAGCTACATGCTGTAGCTGTCGTGCCATGAGGTACATGTACCCAACCCAAAGCTAAGTTTAGCCTGGGAATTCGAAGCTGATGATCAAATTCTTGGGACTCTTGTAACCCGAATGTCCTTAGAATAAGCTCTCTGCGATAGACCCTGCCAAGAAGTCGAATGTAGATACCTCTCATGATACTTGGGTCCCTTGATGCCCCTCCAACCCTCTATCACTCCGTACAATATTTACTTTTGGGTAAAAACCTGTTGTTCGTGCATTGCTTAGCCAGTGAGTGTGACATACCCACGAATCAGCCTCTTCTGCAAACAATTGGCACGATCAGCACGTCTCAGCTTGTCTTTTCTGGTGTCGTCATGTCTCTTGTCTGTGATGAGATAGCTCAGGCAAGGTACGTATTGAAACCTCTCAGGCCATTGATCTGCCTGAAAGACGCATTAGCCTTGATCTAACAGGGAAACGCTAAGCCAAACAAGCAATGAACGGACCCCCCGAGACCCAGCTTTGCAGGGTCCAAACCAGGTCCCAGAACCTGGACGAGCTGACCTGTAGGCTCCACGGACTGTGGCTATGCCAGCTCTGAGCAGTATCGGTACCAAGCTATCGGCATCGAGAAACAAGTTGCGGTCTAACAAGAGTCCAGATCTTCAGGGCCCGGATGATCAACTCAGATCAAAGCCGAGGAGCAACGGACATGAGCTTTGGCCAGGAAAGACAAGGCGAAGCAGAAGTGAACACTTGGGAGGGAGAATCGGCATCAGAGGATGAAATTGTCTGAGTGACATTCCCTCCCCTCATTTGCCAAGATGGGGTCTAAGTCAAGATCGCGCCTGGAATCGGGCCTAGCAACCTTGTCTTGACTCCCCGCTCAAGTTCGAGAACAACTGTTCACTCTTGATAGTGAGAGAATAGCAACCCCTCTTCACCAGGACCCTTGCCTTGGCAATTGATCCTTCGATTGCTTATCGTAGCTTGTTCCTTGATATTGAAGAGTGCATTCCCAGATTTTCATATCTATTAAGGTTGTATTATCTTGTAAGAGCCGGGTATAACTTGCAATCTTTGTCTTTAATCAAGTTCACGAGTGTATGAGTTGGTGGCAGGCCAACACGCCTCGCTGTTCGGTATTCCTCAGACCACCACACCAAAGATATCCAAGCTAAGTCAAACTTCTGGGCATCCAGTTCGTGCCCTGTCCAATACTCTGTCTCCCCACGTGTGGTGATTGCCCGTTCTCAGCAAACTATCGTCGCCCGGCGTGTCCGGCTTCTTCAACGAGACATACCCAATTCCTAGTAGATCTCGATCTGCTTCGAGCACAAATGACACAATTGCATCAAGGCTCGCGGCAACAAGCCCAACATCAGTAATGCCCACACGCGCCTGCAGGGTTTCCCACGATAGCCAGATGATCAGCCCAACAACCCGAAACCCCTCGAAATGTTTCACAACGTCATCATTCCAAGGCGTAACTATAGTTGCGAATAACTGCCGCTTGAGTTACTTTACATCCTTAATGCAACGTGCAACAAGCTTGTATTTGACTTTGCCGCAAAGATACACTTTCTGACCCGGCAAGGTCACGAATTCATCCAGAACGGCCCATGCACAGTATGGCAACATTGTGCCGAGGGATGTCATCTTTACAGATGGCTAGATCTGTCAGGACCAGGAAGTGCGCCGCTCATCATGGCAGGTTCCGCGCTTGCACCGAGAATAAGTGTTCGACCTCCTCGAGTTCCCCACCAAGCTACCCCAATAGCTGCTCGTTCCACGTCTAGCTCTCCACTAACGAGAATCTGCAAGAACCGTTGCTTGACTGGTTCCCTTAGTATGGGATCCTCAATTTCATTCATGGCTTGAGCAGCAATCGTGAACCATTCTTCCACTAACGGAAGAGGTAGATATGGAAGTGAATCGACTAGAGCTAAAGCAAGTGAACTCTGCTGAGAATGACGCTCCTCCTGAGTCTCTTCCATCGCAGCTCTTGAGACGATATCTGCTGTTGGTGGCAGCAGACTCGTCGATGCTGTGGAAATAGAAGCTCGAAGCATCTCTAGAAGTGTCTCCGATAGCTGCGGCTCCAGCTCTGCAATGGGGAACGGAGGTGATACAATCTGCATCACAGTCTTGAAGGCCACTCTGAATTGACGGGATGAGATATGCTGCGGGAATGAATTGAACAGCAGAGCGATATAGAAAGGTGTAAGTTCGATGGTGAGAGGGCTATGTTGAGGACAAGAGATGGTCGATAGAATGGCGCTATGTGCGGATTCGAAGATCTCAACCATATTTTGTGTGGTAGGTCCTTCATGTGAAATGTATGCAATTGCTGGCTTGATTATTAGAGCATCGCATGCATCGGTTGGTAGAGTAAGTGGTAAGTGTTCCGAGAGATTAAGGTAGAATAGGTCCAAGGTTCTTTGCAGATATGTAGTGGATGTCGATGCATCCTCGGATGGTCGGAATTCCTGGAGGAAACTATGGCAAGCAGAGGCGCTCCGAGAGATCGAGTCAATCGAAGTCAGGTATGTGAAGTTGTAGACTTGGAACGCGTTGTTACCGTTCCTTGAGGAGATGAAGAAGATGTTGCGTAATACGCGAAGAGACTTTGCCGCGATAATAGGAGCGGCCATATCGTTGAGCATGCGCGGGTCAAGGAGACTTCGTGAGACAATCGCCTGCAGGATAGCAACCGTCCCGAACATGAGCTTCCTCAGCAAGTTCCATAGAACTGGCCAGGTGCTCGTAATGGTCTCCTGGGTGAGCACATTGCCATCCAACGCTGGATCTATGTCGCTCAAACGGTTCAACCGCCACATATCCAGCACCTGGCTGCTAAAGGCAAGAAGGGCGTCTTGTGCGGCAATCACAGCCTGTGTATCTGTGGCCTGTTGAACAGCATAGCCAGCAAGCTTCGCCAACGGCCCCATGTTGGCTAGGGTAGGTCGCCTATCCAATTCTTGAATGAATCGAAACGAGGGCGTATTTGGTGACCATGCAAGGAGGTGATTTGGTGATTCGACAACCTCGGAGCTGACTGCAACCAAGAACTGGCCGTGGTCAAGGCCCTCCTCAGCTGTCACCGTCCATACAATAAGAGGCAACAGCGCATTGCAGTTGATGAGGCTTCGATGAAAGTCAGACAGCAACGGAAAAGCAAAGTTCAGCGCCATGACAACCGATGCGCCTGCGACCGGACCATCCTCGTCGCGACTCTTGAGTGCCAGATTTGCCGCCATCACCACCGCCTCTTCAAGAGTATTCCTCATGCCACGCGACAAGGACTGCCGATTGCTGGACTCCATTCCCATAAGAACACCAGTCAGAACCAAAAGATGCTGCCATCGCCTCGATCGATCGTCTGCTCCTTTCACAACAGCGCGCGTCCATTCTTCGCAGCTCAGTCCACCACCCTCATGTGGTTCTTTCCGATCGCGATTGGCGACTTCATAGTTATGGATGCGCGCGGCCGCGGTATTGTATATGCTGATAACTCGAACCGAAGTGCGAATGCCGCCCGGCTGGAACCATATCGCAGGGGCTGTTAACAATTGCGACGTGAGAAGGCCGAGATTTAGAGGGTTTGTGAGCTCGGTGAGGAGATGTGTTGTCGACCCGATGATCTGCTCCGTCTTTGCAGCATCGTGGACGTCTGGGTAATGCTGCAGAACTGTTCTGAGGAGTCTATCGGAAGACATATCGACGCATTCGGATTGTATGGTGAATGAGAGGGAGTTGTCGATGGAGAGTTGATGATGGATCTAAATTGACAATTCCGAGGTCGCGGTTGCGGTTGCGCATGCCGACTTCACGGGCTTTTGCCGAGGCCTGGGGATGACGTTCCGGAGGCACTTTCAGCTCCATCAGAACCTACCTACACCCCTGTCCCTTGTCGCCGCTAATTCCAACACCCCATAATCATAATCATAGCAATTCCATCCTCTCAACGACACCGCAAGAATCAGCGAAAGTTGAGAGCTGTTGCAGCCTCCATGATGGCAGGGTATGTCCAGATTGAGTTCCTTCTTGCAATCAAAGCACTAATTAATACAAACCATAGATGGCCCTGCCAAATACTCCTCCACCAGACTATCAGACGCCGCGCTTCCCGTCCCTGAACGTCCAGACTCTATTTGATACCACCGCAGACAAACAATTTACCCTCTACTATGTTTTAGATGTTTGGCGTTTTACTTTACTATGGACGCTCATTATATATGCATGCTTCCACATGGGGGCGGTTCTGATTGCCATGGTTACCCACGGTTGGAAGAAGTCCTCTTGGAGATATCTATGGGCAGTACCTGTCATCTATCTCGTTATCGCTGGGCTTGAGGCTGTCATGGCCGGGAGTATTGTTGGCTTAGTGTAAGTCATGTCGGTCTTGCAGACTAGGTACCTTTGCTAAAGAATCGTTAGGTTGGGAGCTGTTTACTCTGCTGGATACTACGAGATGAACACCTGGATTCCTTGTACTTGGGGGTTCATCAACGTATTGGTACTCATCATTTCCTCTTTCTCGATCCAGGGCGGACTTTAAGAGGAACTACCAGTTACACATTATTTTACACTGGACTGGAGACCAGCCTTCATCCGTCGCAACCACCGATAGCTTACACTGTCACCAAGTTGGTCATTTTGCGCACGATTCTCTGCACAAGAAGGGGCTACGTTCTAACTCAGGGGCGTATGGAAACGCCACCGATTCCACACCACGTATATGTCCGAAGCCCAGCCTGAAGTAAGCTGCATTGTCTTCAGATTGCGTTCAAAGTCCCTGTCCCAGTGTGCACTTTGAGCATTGGAACCATGACCAAATAGCAGCTACGGGAGCATAACCGATAAAATTTTTCGGAACAAAATACAGCTTAGAGCATGGTGCATAGCATTGTTTATCATATACCCATTGTTGTTTCCAGAAACCATTTAATAGAATAGTGTATATCCAAGCATGAGTCTTGGAGACTTCAAAGCTTAAAAAGTGCTACCAACATAACCTAGGTATCTGTGTATAGAAAGGCGTCTTGCTTCCTGAACTCATGTGATATTCTTTGAGATATCAGTTTCAACGGTCACATTGTCCCAAGCAAACTGACATCTGCAAGTACCCCTCATTTCAAGCTACCTCAAATTTCGGGTTCGAGTCCCCCAGCCTCGAAAATCAGCGACGATGGGAAGACAAAAACAACCACCAAATCATAAAATTACTTAGAAAATGATGCCAAGGACTTTCATTACCGTTTGAAACTGGCTCAGTACCTAATTATAACCATTCAAGGCCGATTGTGGTGTTCTTATGGCATTTATGATCATGGGTCAGACAGCAGCTTCATGTATCTGGAAATCCTCGGTACTTTTACCTCCCGGCCACCCTGGAGCCAACGCTCAGGTGGATAGGTCCACTAAGCTCAGATCCTCCCAACTCATGAGCTAAGGCCAACAATCTTGATATTGTCCTCTGCCTCACAATCCAAGACTGCAGACGCCATTCGGGGACGAGGGCCAACACGCCTTCTGAGTAATAGCTTTTCGTTTCTTTATTTTAGTGCCAAAGACCACCTTTCGAACCTTTCTCTTTTTTTCACGACTCTTCTCAGAAATTGTACGTTCATCTCATCATCTAATCTTTCATCAAGCTTCATATCACCCCCTGAAGACCTCATGAGATCGTATAGACTGTTTTTTGACTTTTCATCAAAGAAAACCATGTCTGAAACCACGCAAAACGCGGGTGCTCGACCTATCAACTTCAGCCCTTCAACTGCTCATCATCGAGCATCGCCTACTCATCATGACTCCTTCTCCGGCAACTCTCGCTCTCTGGACGAACTCATGATACTGAAGCCCTACTTTGCAGGCCAGCCCAAGTCACTCTCCGGTATCGCTCTTCGAGCGTTTTGCCTTGGTATTACCTTGGCTTGTAGTGCTATCTCTATGGGAGCCATTCTGTTCCTGACGTCTAGCCCTGTCTGGCGTGTTCCGTTCTTCCTGTTTGCACTCTCGGCTTTTCATTTCCTTGAGTTTTGGACGACGGCTGAGAAGAACACACTTGTGGCTAGCATTGGAAGTTTTCTCTTGACTGCAAACTGGCCATCTTATGCCATCGCCCATTCAGCTGCGTTTATCGAATGTGCCATTGTCAACCTTTTCTTCCCTAATCGGCACTGGGCACCCTATGGCACCGGTCCTATCCTTCTGCTCCTCGGCCTTGCCATGGTCACCGTCGGACAATATGTTCGCTCAGTGGCCATGTTGCAAGCTGGAGCCAGTTTCAACCATCATGTTCAGACCAAGAAGAAGGATTCCCACGAGCTGGTGACTTCAGGCATCTACTCAGTCTTCCGCCACCCAAGTTACTTTGGATTCTTCTACTGGGGATTGGGAACACAGTTAGTGATGGGCAACGTTCTGTGCTTCTTTGCCTATGCTGCTGTTCTCTGGATGTTCTTCAGCAAGAGAATCAAACATGAGGAGGCCAAGTTGATTGAGTTCTTCCAAGATGATTATGTTCAGTATCGGAAGAGAGTGGGAACCAAGATTCCTTTCATTGGTTAGAAGGTGTGAGAGAAGAGGGAAGTGATCTAGCCATAGGTGCATAGAAACACAGCTAGAAATGCTTTTTAGATCACTTTTAATAACGTTGTACTAAATCTTAGGCTACTGCCATAAGGGTTAGTTCAAGTTTACGCCTAAATTTCATATATATTTTTAGGAAAGGAGAATCTGACGGCTGAGGGTTAATGAATACCATCGCGCTTCGTCAGGCCAATGAACCCCTGATGTCGGTCCTGAGATGTTTATAAATCTAGCCTATACGAAGATAGGCGAACGACTTCTCAATAACGGTCTATCAAATATATATTGAGCCAATCAGTAAATATGTTAACTGGGCAATACCAAACAAAATCTAGAGAGTTTATCCGTAGCCAAGGCCGTTTAACTCGATACTGTTGTCATTTGCTTGCTGACACTTCCATACTTTGCTTGCCAAGCATAGAAGTACATCAATGCTGCGAAGGGTTGTCCAAATATGGTGAATGATACCCAGAAAATAGTGTTACCAACTATTTTGCCGGTGTGTCCAAGCTTCATATTTTCAAGAGGCTTGGTCAGTGCAATAAGTGGAAGTTGAAGGAACATGCCCAGGAAAGCAACGCCTGCGAGTGTCAGTCCGTGTAGCCATGATCCAGGGTACGTAATCTTACCGATGATGTTATGTGTAGGAACACCGACAAGGATCTCGTGAAGAATAGCTGATACCAAAAAGACTACAAAGCTAGCAGCTTGAGGGCTCCAACCACGCCCGATCATGGGCATGTACAAATGACGCTTAAAGTACGTGTAAACAGGTTTGTTCCACGTGCGCCAGTATGCTCCCAAACTCTCGCTGTTCCACCAATCGTCATAGAACGACCTGTCGCCAAACCTCAAAACCTCAGCTAGGGCGTTGAGGAACGACTGGAAGAGTGCGAAGAAACCCGCAAGCCAGATGACTAGGGAAATGGTCGAAAGCTTAAGTAACCGTTCCAAAATAGACATGAGGTCGAGAGACGCAATCTTGTCGAGCGAGTTCCGGAGGACAGGTGCAGCATATTGAGCACTCGCAACCCACATGAACACACTGAGGCCGAAAATTTCTCCAACCCGCTTGGCCACAAAGACCCATCTGATTTTATCTGTGCGAGGATACACGGGCTGGTATACGAGTGTGGGCGCCCACCAGAAGTAGACCAGGTTGCTGAAGGTGATGTTCTGGGGATACGGGCATTGCGTGTACAGCTCAGGCACCAGTTCGCGTTCTCCTTCCACGGGATGGAGGTAGGCATGTCTCAAGTCTCGGTTGGTGAAGGCGTATGATGCAGTCTTGAGCCAAACAGCAATGGCATGCATCTCGGTCAAGGTACCAATGAGAGGATGATGGATCTTGAAGTATACGACCCAGGTGGTAAGAACAAGGGCAAGAGTGATGTTGAAAAGGTGAGCCCATGCGACAACAACCCAAGTCTTATGAAACCTCCTGCGCTCCTGTTCTGAGGGGCCACCGGAAGGCGAATCGTTGACACGCTTGAGGGATCCTCGAGCCTGCTGAGCAGCAGCCAGCTCAATCAAGTAGGCGGCGAGGAGATGGCATGGAATGAGGAAATAAAGGAGTAGGCCCAAGTAAATATCTTGACGGCTGTAATCATGACACCTCACGCAGATCAGGACGCCATACTGCGAATCATGTTAGCTGGTTCCTGATTGTCTAATTGATGAACGAGAGTTTAAGTGTACCTTTTGGATGTTCTCAATCATCAATCGCAAGTTTCCAACAACTGCCAAGCATTAACAACCCAACAGATAACATTATGATGAGGGGCATTGAAGCTTCCATACCAAGCACAATGACCATGAGGTTACGGAACCCAATAAAGCTGGGAGCAGCATCGGAATCGTGACTCAGACATGAAGGCCTCATCTGTTTGTGAACCGCAGCGACGTGTCTGTACTTCTGGCCAGGCTTCTTTGGGGTTTTTGTCGTGGCAGTCCCGTTTCCGTTGGTGCGATCGTTGGGTTCGTTCTGTGTGACGTCGTGGCCGCTGCGCCGGGAGACAGAGGCCGAACCATTCGAGGTTTCTATACTCGTCGCTGTAGCCGAATTCATTTTGTAAGAGCCTTGCCTAGACGGCAGACTAATCGCGTATGAAATAGAAGCTCAAGAAATTAGGTGAAAAGAAAACAAAGAAAGAATTGAGTAGAGTTGCCGACGGAGATACGACGACCTTGTTAACGTCAAGTTGTTTGGGTGGCGGCGATTGTTACAAGGATGATAAGATACCGAGGGCGCCACTGTAGCAGCGAATGAACCACCTACAGCTTCAAGATAGAGCACGTTAAAGAGGTTATCAAACGACAGGAATGTAAAAGAGACAGGGTCAGAGAAAAAAAGGAGATGAAAGGGAGATTTCAAATTAAAAACAATCAATCAATTGAGTCACTTTCGCAATGGCCTCTCTCCTCTCTTTTCTTCTCTTCCTATCCTATCTCGCCAAGTACATTACCTACTATGCAGAGCAACCATTTTGGCGCCTCTTCTGGCGGGGCTGTTTGAGCTTTTTCGCTTTGATCATTTTTAGCAGCAGCTCAGGGACTTTTCTAGTGAGGCTAAAGACAATCATCAACGCTAAAGGGGGGGCCCGGGAGCATAACACCCCTGGCTTCCGCTGCATTCTGAGCGTTTTAATGGATCGACGAACTCCCCCGAGCCACTGGCTTGTGGCGCTACAGGGGGAAGGTATGCGGCAAAAGGCCAGGCCCCAGAAGGCTTGCAACTTTGCGACTGATATCAATGTGAAAGCATGTGAAAGTGCGGTTGTATTGCATACTGTTGGTGAGATGCAACAGTCATAGCATGGGCGAACTAACGCAGTAAGCTCGGGTAGAGCCCGTGGTGACGAATCTGCGCCCCAACAATTCGGTATACGGAAGGATATTCACGCATGTGCCTGTGTTTAGCAGAGGCACTTTATCTCATCAGATCTAACCGTTGAGACTATCAAGTTTTGGGGAGAGAGGTCATGTGACTAGGAGTTTTTGGAGAAGGTCTGACTCCAAAACTGAGGCTGGCCGGCTAATCGCCGCTTGAATTGGCGCTTCGTACGAAGCTTTGAACTTCGACTGAAGCTCACGCGCCTCGAGTATAGCATTGTCTTTGTTCGTTCTTTATCAAATCAATTTATCATCCCCACGTCTTGTCACAGGAATTCAATATCCGTCATCGACATATAGAATCTCGGCTTGATCAATTATTCAAAGATCATCCAACAACGACTTCATAGCTGCATTGGTTGTTCATTTCCATCTTGAAAGTCTCACTCCCTACGACGCGCTTCTCAAGAAGGCTGTGCATGCTTGAAACCCCAAAGAAAATCCGTCACGATGGCCTATGAGCCTCGTGGTGATCAAGGTGGTGGTCAGGGCCAGGATGGGGCATTTGTGAAGGTTCGAGGCAGACGTAAGTTCACCCAT